AACTTTTCTGGGAAATTAAAACCTATGACATTTGCAAAAGTAGAATTGGTAGCTATACTTAATTTAAGTAAAAAAATCAATATACTAGAGGTAACATTTAATTCTTTCACCTATACAACATTTAAAAAAAAAATAACACTGGCATATTATAAAATTAATGTGAAATGCTTTAGTGTGATCATACCCAGTGGAGAAATTGATGCATCTATTTTGATAGTTCTAGCCGATGTAAATGCCAGTTTTAACCAGTTCTGTGACAGCTACAATGACAAAAGAATTATACATATAAACAGTACATAAATACATATAAGACTGACTTAATGTACATGTAGTCAGACAAATGAAAATTCAAACATTCTATCTTCATTAATGTAGAAATTCTACAAATTTACAGCCTAGTGATACAGATAGTAAAAGTTCTACGATGAATTTAAATATGAAGCACTGGTAAAAACTGAAATCTTAAAATTCACATATTTTTGATTGCCAGAGGTATAAATTAAAATTTATAGGGTCTTATGCTCGTGTATGTACAGTGCATATACATTTTGTACACTGTGCAGTTTGACTTCACAAATACATTGTAAGTGTGACTGCATCTAAATTATACTATTTGATATCATGACGTGCTGTGCTTATATTATGTTACATGTTTGTACATGTATGCCAAAGGACAACATCATTGCATGTATAAAAGTGTGCAACTTTCATAATGTGTGTGTTTTTGTGTATTGGGGGTGGGGGGGGGGTGGGGGGGGGCATACACACAAGGCACTGCATTGAAGTTTGTGACGGACTGTAATAATACATCTAATTGTACATGTTCATGGTTATTTGACATCGATGTAAAGAATAGAATGTCTACATGTTAATACCTATGCATACACACCTTAATGAACAGAAAGAGACCTAGGGAGGTAGTGCGGATCATCTCAGTTTTCCATGATTTCCCGAAATAACGTCATCATCTTCTCATCAAAAAGATAAAGAAGGCCCAGATCTCTTATTTTATCCCTATTCTCTTTAAAGATTGCCTGATTGTTGCATTTAACCACTGCATATCTCAGCCGCTGTTCGCCACGTTTTTAGATGTAAACAACATTCCGTGTCACCGAGTGCAAGCGCTTGGCTGAAGCCGAATGCAGCCAAACGACACAATAAAAAGAGAATTATTTCGAAGACGTGTTGTTACTATATAAGAGAAAATCACTAATGTTTATTTATTTAAACCTGAAAATACAGACATTCATTACAAATTCTCGCAATCATCATTAAATAGCTTTTTTGAGCTCTATTTCCTTATATGGATCTTTCAAGGCGGAGCAATTGTCATGACGTCAACCTCATTATGACCTCATTACCATATTATCTTCATGTGTAGCCTTAACTGTACTGCGTGGTTATATCACGAATTTGAATTAGTTATATGACCTATTTGAGTTTTTTATAACATTAAAAACGAATGCGAAAAACAAGACAATCTAGCTTCAATGCAAAGTAAAGGATGAACATTCAAAACGCCTTCAAAGAGCAGTTTTATTTCCTAAGCAGTGATTCAAAATTGATGAAATTGATTTCATTGCTCTTGCACAAACTTTTACAAAAAGATAATAAAGTTTCTATGGACTTACTGCACTTAATTTGAGAAACACCCTCTAGTATGCCGGCATTGCATTGATCAAATAAACTGTAGATTCTCTGTAAGATCATTTATTTGGCACAAAGAGGAGAGGGGACACTGTTTTTAAGTTACAATGTATGTAAAAAAAAAAAAAGACCATAAAATAACATGTTTGCATATGAAAAACTAGATTTGTATTGACCATAAGCAAATTCGGGCTGCCCTTTTCCCCCGCGTTATAGTCCAAGGCATTTAAAACGCCATTTGTTTTCAATTCCTGTGAAGTTATATAAATTTCACTTGCAGTCAGCTTTTGCTATATTTATTACTTTCTCTCTGTTACAAACTTACAATTATCTAAATGAAAAGAGACTGAAATTCCTGTATAGAGTAAATGAATGCACTTTAGTCTTGGGAGCAGTTGTTATTTCATACTTAATTTGAATAGGTGGTATCACCTATTCAAGAAGGGGATATCACAAATTCAAAAGCTAAAAGGGTGATATCACACATTCGAATAGGTGATATCACTTAATGGCAGTAAATACCAAACGGTCCCTCATACTACTGCTTGCAATAGAATACATTCTAGTCTTGATCCTTTTTATCATTTGTTTCATATTTCGATATTTTACTGATTATAGACGTTTATGGCCAATTAACAAACGGGTTGACTTTAGATTGATTGATAGTATGTTGTTTTACGTCCGATTTGAGAATTTTTCGCTCATATAGAGACGTCACCTTATACCGGTGAAGGGCTTCAAATTTAGACCTTTACTCGTTACTCAGGGCCATTGAGCAGTGAGGAATCTTTATCGTGCTAACGCCTGCCGTGACACGGGGCCTCGGTTTTTAAGGTCTCATCCAAAGGACCCGCAACTTTCACTTCAAAGTGCTGAGCGCCTGGCGAAGGAACAGTTGCTACCTATTTTTTTTTCGACTCAGGTCAGTCGCGGCCGAGATTCGAACTCACGGCGAGCGCTTTACCGACTGAGCTACCGTGACGACGGTTACTTTAGAAGTCTCTAAAAAAGTAATTCTTCTTATTTTAAAAATTGTAAGGCACTTTTGCTACATGTCCGAAAATTACATGTATGTACACTATTTAAATCATTGGCTTAAAGAGGCATTCGGACGCTACTTAATAAATAAACCGGTAGATAGACATTGTAAACATCTCTCTCTCTCTCTCTCTCTCTCTCTCTCTCTCTCTCTCTCTGGACTCTGGATAGTATAAGCGAAAATTAAAAAAAAGTTTGTTTTTTTTAAACAATGATACATAAGTCAATCAGAATGAAAGCATTTCCACATAAGGTACATGTACATTGTCAATTCACCATAAAAGACATTTGAAAGATTAAATGAGAACAACAGATCATCGCTATATCTTCAATTTACCTCATGTGAGCATTTTGATCCATGACTCTCTTGATTCATTATTTCTTAATTTTTTTTTAATCCAAAAAAATATGTTTCTGATCAAATCTGCCAGGGATCATTACTCTACGGGGGTCATTTTTCTTCACGTAGGGTATGCAGATTTTAAGGGTGATGCCACTTTTTCTACGGGCGAAAAAGTCATTTTTCTACGTCGAATAATGACCGGGGGTCATTTTTCTACGTCGAATAATGACCTGGAGTCATTTTTCGACGTCGAAGAATCACCCCCGGTCATAATTCTACTGGGGTCATTATTCGTCTTTACACCGGCTCTTCTTTCTTCTATCATTGTGACATTATATACACCCATCATATTGAAGGCAAGAATCAGCATAAGCATAACCATTATCTTGAATAATTTCATCTAATAAACAGGAAAAAAATGTACTAGAAACAGTGTAAGATAAAAAGTTAAACAGATTATAACTAACTTACTATAATTTAAAACAAATACAGGCAAAAACAAACTATTTTGAAATTCTTTATTAAAATACCAAAGAAAGAAAAAAGAACGAAAAATATTAGAATGTAACTATGGATTTTAGCAAACAATCTAAATGATGTTCAAGTTTAATTCTTGAAATGTTCATACCTTGGTGTTTTAATGATTCCATGAGCTATCAACTTTCAGGGGATTGTGATTTCAACAGATAATTTGGTACAGTTTATGTAAAGAAGCAATGCGTTTGATGAAGTACTTGCGTAACACATGCATGAAAATAATTAAAATTTAAACTCCTTTTGGCAATTACTAATATATGATTTGATAAGACTTTTCCCCTGCAAGCAAAAAAAAAAACAGGATTTTAAACAAACAATAATATAATTATTTGTCAAAAAGGACAGCATAAAGGTAACATCTGTTCCAAAATTGTGAAATACTAATGGAAGTGTTTGAATGTCACACGCTATGTGTAATTGTTTCCATGGGTATGTCATGGGGTAAGTCATGGGGTAAGTCACGGGGTAAGTCAGTCCCTCAGAAAAATTTCTATCATCCCCATATTCCAGATTTGATCATTGTAGACGGAAATAGATAACAGATCTAGTTACTGAATCATTGAGCCATATTTGCTTACTTGTTAAGGATCTTGCTTTTTCTCTATAATTGCAATATTTCGTGTATTTGTTGCATCATTTTTTTTTTGGAAGTGGGATGTCTGTGGAAAATAATCCTCATAATAACTTATACATTCACGATCTTGATCTATTTACTCTTTCAATTCACAGAAAAGGAATGTTATGTACAACTGAAATGTAAAGAATACAATCAGTAACCATGCCTAAGAGTCAAATAAAACTATACGAATTATTAGCAAAGCAAACACGGACCCGAAAAAACATTCAAGATGGGATCACGTGTCATAGGGGATGAAACATATCAAACGGTCACACTCATGAACCTCTGTAGCGGTCAATCAAACTAATTAAGTTTTGCTGAAGATCAATATTCAGTTCAATCTTTCTGATTTGATCCAAGCCAAACATCATCCCGTAAAGGTACTACACTTAAGACTTTGAAAACTGAATTTTTTTTTAACTGTGCAGTGCAGTTATTATATCTTTGGACATCTCTTATACCCTAAGTTTCAATTATGATATACCAACTTACCCTACACTTCGGATATTTATTAAAATCTTAACATTAAGAAATTTAAAGTATCTGCAATAGCATAGTCATCATACCGATGTATCACTTAATAAAATCAAATTTCACCTTGTGAAGTAATGTTTATTTAATAAAAAAATTTTTTTTTTTTTGCTATTAATGAGATTGGGAAGTGTACATAAAAGTACCTGTTTATTAGTACACGTAAAATCCAAAAGTGCTGAAAAGAATACAACAAACATTTTTTGTTTTGTTCTTACATGAAGAGATTACATGTATAAGCTAGTTTTGAATTTACAAAATATCAAATTCAAACACAAAGTTCGTCTATTCCTCGAGTACAGACAAGGGTGGTTCGCCAAATGGTGCTTCTAATGCTAGTAAAACCACCTTCCAAAACATTGATTCCAAGGCGCTACCTTCATTCCAAGTTATAACTGATCTTTTTTTAAGAGTTCTGTGCACAGACGAAATCATGTTTTTGCTATTGATGGTTTTAAATAACAAAAACACGACAGTAGATTCTCCACGCTGTCTTATTCTTTCTTCCACAAGATTGTTTTGCCAAAGGCACCATTCATTCTTCACAAATTCATTTGATAACACCACTAATATTTTCTTACTCTCCTTGAAAGCATCTTCTATTTCGCTGCATCTCTCTGCACCAACTACGAATTCTCGATCAGGAATGCACAATCTTATTTCTCTGGCTTCCAACTGTGGAACAAGCTTTCGCAAAACCCATTTCTCATCTGCTTCACAATATACAACATATGCATCATATTTGAATTCTTGCTCATTTAGAAGTCTAACATATCCCCTACTTTTTAAACGGTAATAGTATATAACATTTTTGATAGTTGGCAAATTCACGGAAATCATAATGGAAACAATAATAAGAAAAATCGCCGATGCTGAAGTTGATATAACGATAACAATCCATGGGTTTTTCTCTTTGCAGTCTTCTGGGGTAAGACTTAGAGTCAGTATCGGCTTCCGAAGCATCTTGGGAGGCGTCGTACAAGCATACCTGTCCGGAAAATTCAAAAGTGTCACATTTGTTTCTTGGCACCAGTTCTTAAACCAAATCAAATCACATCCACAATCAAAGGGGTTGTAGGCAAGAGTAAGGGTCTGGAGATTATTCAGGATGTCTGGCGGTATAGATGTTTTGTTTAAAGTAGAAATCCTATTATTATCTAGTCTCAAGCTAACGAGATTTGAGAGGTTTTTGAAAACAGAAACATTCCAACCACTAAGTTTATTCTGGGTCAAGGAAAGTGTTTTCAATGTCGTCAATGATTTAAATGTGTCCACGTGAATTGTGTCCATTCTATTTTCTTGAAGGGACAATTCTTCTAATCTTTGCAACGGTTTAAGTAGTAAATGACCAATTGGTCCGGTAGGAAAATGATTTCCACGAAGATCCAAGATAGTGATATTTTTGCACAATGCAAACAATTTTTCCGGATCATATTTTGAAGTATCTTCAAAATTGAAATCATTGCTCACAAACTTCAGGGTGTGAAGGCTAGATATATTAAATGCAGAATTAAAAATCTTTTTCAGACTCCGAACATTCCCTATTTGCAGCCATTGGATAGACTTTAATGGGCTGAAAATATTGTCACTGAGTACATGTAATTCCGTAAAACTTAAATCTAATTTTGTCAGCGATGGAAGGCAACTAAAACTGTTATTAAAAATGTATTTAATTTTTGAATGTGACAAATACAGTTCTTTTAACTTTGGATGAATGCTGTCCTTTACTTTGTTGCAAAATAATGGAATTTCGGCAAAGTAGTTGAAACGAAGGTCCAATATTTGCAATCTTGGTAAGCATTGGAAACGATATCCCTGTAAAGTGATTATACTTGTATTTAGAAGATAAAGTTCTGTTAGATTAGGTGTTAAACTTTGACGTTTTACTCCACAAAACACGGGAATATCCCTCAAAAGATTATTTCCCAAGTCTAAGACTCTAAGGGATGACAGACATATCAATGATTTATTTTGTAATTTTGAGATAGACGTGAATTGCAGATGCAGTTCTTCTAAATTTGGAACACTGCTTTTTCCGAATGAATTGCAGAAGTTAGGAACATGGGTTATTTTATTTTTGCTTAGATATAATACTTTGAGCTTTTCTAAACACGTGAATAGTTTGTTTGGAATTTCTCCCGCTATACCAGTATTGTCTAAGAACAAGGATTCCAGTTTATTATCACTACTCCGAGGACCGAGGCAAAGTTCAGGAAAACCACCGAGTCTTGTACCTACTACATTCAAAATTTTAAGCTTTGGAAGGCAATGAAATATAGATGACGTAATAAATCTCAATTTTGTTGATTGTAGCCTTAGGCGCTCCAAATAAGGGAGTTGTTTTATTTTCCCTTCGCAAAAAAAATTCATATCTTTAAAACTGGACGACGAAAAATCTAATGCTGTCAGTTTAAGATCCTGAAAAATGTCTGCTGTTAAATTCCGCAGTTGATTACCTGCTAGTACTACCGTACTCAAGTTAGTATGGGAAACATATTTGAAGAAATCAGGTACAATGTAATTCCATCTGTTTGAAGTAAGATTAAGAATCTGTAAAGAGGATGAAATATTAAGGAACGCATCTCTTAAAGTTTTGGAAGGAAGTTTTCTGTTATGAGATATTTCCACTTCTTTTAAATTCCGGAGATTTCGGAAAAGTCCAGTTTGCATAAATTGCATATCTAAACTGTCAAAGCATAGTTTAGTTAAAGGGAGAACTGTAAAGTTCTGTAGGTTGCGTACAAAAATCTTTTCACATTTGAAATAGCGAACAGTAACATCTTCTATGTTATATGGAAGTTTAGGAAAAAACAAAAGTTTTTGTCCTTCAGGTGCAGACTGGCAAACTGCTTTATGAGTTTTATCGTCACACAAACACATTCCATTGCCACAGTAAGTTACTGCTCCTAACGACGATTTGAATACGGATAGCAAAAGAAAACAACACATATGAAGGATGTCTACATTCACTTCCATTTTTTCTTCAAATCTGTGAAATATGAAGTAGTGTTATATACACCTTGTAATGTACAAGTTAAAATCATTAATTTGTGATGATGGAAATCGTCATTAATTTTATTAAATTCATAAAGTTAACTTCCTCCTTGATTGAAAATGTTTTCTACTTTAAAAAATAAATTTGACAATAGCGAAAACAAAATGAAATCATTCACATTACTACATCTGAATGATACTCTTACCTGTTTCACAAAACGTTCTGTTATTTTTAGAATAATTTTGCTCTACAATGTACGTGTTCAAGTTTTTACTTCCGCATATTGTCATAGCGAATTGAGAAACATGAATTGAATAATTATGATTCATCTCTTTACTTAAAAAATCACATAAAATAATTAAGAGCTAATATCAACCAAATCATGCTGAAAGCGTAATTCAGAAGATCCATCAAAAATTTTCAAATATCAAATATATGTACTAATAAACCCACTGGAAGAAGGCATTTTTATGCAATCTAAAATTTCTTATAGATAAAGTTATTGGACCATTCGATAGATATAAAGCTTAAATTTAATGACTATGGGATATTATTTCAAAAATATACATACTCACATTAACGAAATTCGAAATTCAAAGATCCTTTATGAATTGATCAAAACAATTTAACATCTTTCGCACATGCTTCCTGTTACTTCCGCATTCTAGAATTTTGTTGGAAGTTTAGGAATAGATAAGGGATATATTTAATCTGTCAAGTACAAATTCGTTCCTATGATTCATGCAAGACGGTTTATATATAACTACATTATCTGAATACTGATTTTAAAATCGCCTCCCCCATTTAACTTTAAAAATATAATGTAAATGTTCAACATAGGACTAGACGTAATGTTTGCATAATCTTAAGTGTTTCCTTACCTGTACTCTTGTCATTTATTTACTAAATAATTATTTCCTCATTTCCAGCATTTGATATAACACTGTCTTCCTTTGAAATTCATTGCTATCTAAAAATGAATGCCCTGTAGGGATAGTAATCAGTATCAAATGTTTAAAAGCATGAAGATCGAAAGCTCGCGAGCGCTCGAAAACATTTCTGTTCGAGGGATAATGCATTTTTGCGAGGAATCGCAAGTAGCCCTCTGCTTATAAACCTCTGCATTGCTCTTACGACGTCCGCAATTTTCAGCTTTTTTGCTAAGTTATCAGGGAATTTCAATGATGCTTAAACATTTCCGCTTTGACTTTGTCGCACAAGAAAACTTATTCAATGAAAACATTCCATTAACAAATATACAAGGAACAATTATGAAGTATTTTTCAAAAGGAATCAGAACAAATTTATTATACATGCTTAAGTAGACAATAGATAAGAAATATTGTAAAGCAGAACATGTTTAAATCTACACAAAACTATAATACATGTATAGCGTTATTAAACATTGAAAGCCTTATTTTCATTTTCTACACAATCCGTACACAGTAAAATAAATTTTACATGCTTCTTTTGATAAAATGGAAAACAATGTAATTTTCGAACACCCGGATATAATGATCAAATACGCATCTTAGTGTCTTGATGTTCTATATCTCTTTAATTTCAATGTAACATCCCCTCAATGTGATATTAGAGGCTCTTGATTTTAAATATTAACATCCAACATAACATAAAAAAAAATTCCAAATGCAAAATTTCAAACGTGAACCCACTAAATCTGAACAAAATACGGCCATTTCTTATCAAGAAAGAAACAAGAAGTGCTAAGGACAAAAATGTCACTGCAAGTACAGTGCAAACTGTGTAATAGGAAACCTGTGCAATCTATTTCACTGTGATATCCGATATTCATTTTTCCTATCCACTTCTATATATTTCCATGTTCTTTACACTGCACAATCCGACATCTTGTCTATTCCAACAAAAAATTTGTCTCCCAGTACATGTCGGATCAGACAGCTTCCACTGTACTTGAAAAAAATGTTTCAATAGCTACAGCCATATATTTGCCTTAAGTTTCTTAAATTTCCAGTTTCAGAAGAAATTACATTTTATCCATTATCAAAGTAGTGTTGTTTATAAATATCTGATGATTTATTTGTTAGTACCCCAGTGCCTTTTGCATGCAATCATACTCCTTTTACATTATCTTGTGATTTTTTAGTAAAATAATTTTTTCATATTTTCTCTATTCTATGTACTTTTCTTTCGAAATGTTGCGCTCTATAAATTGTTCAGATTCTCGAAAAACTCAAGTATAATTTACTCCTAACTTGTATGATTAAACAAAAAAGGCTTCAGTATTTTTCTAGAATATGTTTCGAAATAATTATGGACCGCGAACCGGAAAGCAGGGTAATTAATTACGAATATCTTAGAAAGTATTTCTTTGTTATATTCGTTGAGTCAAACATTTATTCCATTTATCTTCAATTACAAACTGTATGTAGAAGATGCTTACATCATAATTACCTATCACAATTGCCAAGCATTATGACTAAAAAAGTCAGTAAGTCGATCCTGCAACGATGTTTGTATTATAATACCAAAACGGAGATAATTTTACATAATTGAATTTATTTCTCAAACTTTTTGAACCCATATTTTCAAGCCATTAAAAGAGGCAGTAGTTTATTAATTAAAAAAATGTGATTAAAAGATAAAAACACGTTTCTCTAACAAATTATAAAAAAAAAGTCGGTGGTGCTGAATTATTTGAAAAGATATTCATGATCGATGTATGTACAGTGTTTTTATCATTACTATTTTATTCAATCTTCGTATAAGTTGGTTTAAAGGGACGAAGGCACAGATTTGAGATTAATGTCTATCATTTTTTTAGCAAAATTTTACGACTTATATACTCCAGACCGAATTATTTTGAAAAGTACTTTGAAAACTCTTTTCTTTGAATATTTTGAAAACTAGGATGGTTTGATTGTCGTTTATCCCTGCATTTTAATAGTCTTAAATTTACACGTAAGATTAAAAAAAGAACTAAGAAATCTATTGAATATTTTTTTTTAAATATTGATTTAATTTAAAAATATATATAGATAATTTTAAGAAACATAAAATACGCACCAGTGTGGTCGATGGATATTCACAAAGTGCGAATCAATATCATTTAGAACCCACCAGGTAAAGCACGTTCATAAATAATGATAAAGCTCGAGTTTGTATTTAAAAACACAAGGGAAACCAGAAATTACAAAAGTATTTGTTATTCCTATTCTCCATTCAAATAGATACCAGTACTCAGTGGTCGGTTTACTATTCAAATACTTTAAGGAACAAAACAAACAAAAATTGATGCCTGGTTTGGAATATATTTTGAACCTATTTTGTTTATAAATGAAACAATAAATTTCTAAAATATAAAGAAATTGTAAATAATATATGAAGTTCAAAAGTCTATCTTTCTGCAACCATCCTTATTAATCTGTATAATTTTTTGAGACTTAAAATCCCATTATTGAGACATTGAATAAAAAAATTAAAATCTGTGCGGTTAATCTAATTCATATTACTTATTAAAACATGACTTAAGTTGTTACTTTCAATATTTTTTTTATAAAAATTTGTTTGTATCATCCGTCCTTAAGCGTTTTAGTGTACAAGCATTTTTTCGAAAAAAAAATACCTTCATCTTCCCTTAAAAAAGGCACTTTGGACCCCTAAAGCTATCCTGGCTAAAATTGTCAAAGTGTATGTAATTGTTGTAAAGGAAACATAGTACTAGGGCTGGATAACATCCACAATTCCATAATGCAGCCTCCATGGCCATTTTCAGTCAGAAGTAGGGCCTGGGAGAGACTAGTTGACCGTTTAAAGGAACACAGTCTATACGACCCCTAGCCCTTAGGGCTACCCTACCCAAATTGATCACAGTGTATATTATACTGTGACATTACACAGTACAAGAAGCTGGATAACTTCCACAATCCCATAACTTTACATTTATCTTTTATCAGGGGATTAATCAGATGACCATCAAAAGGAATTAGGTTTACAAGACCCCCAATGCCTAAAGGTAGTCCGTCCAAAATGATCGCAGTGTTTACAATACAGGTATAAGTGGTAGGTAGTACACTGTACAAGGGGTTGGATTACTATCCTTTTCTTTTTGATGATTATATTGTTATCCCAGGCCAAAGTTGAAGGCCAAATTTTGGAATATGGATGTTATCCAGTCCCTTTTACTCTGTTCACCGTATGTTTTATATGCACCGCGACCAGTTTAGCAAGGCTAATTAAAGAGTTTGGTGTTCTTGTTTACCTTATTCTAATAAAGCTCACCAGAACAGTCCCAGACCCCTCTCTTAAAGATGAAGATTGACTTATAAGACACGCAGCACTGTAAAGACGAACTATGAAGAAATCAATGGAATAAAGACGTGCACAAATAGATACCGTTTAAAACTAAATTTATTTTTGTTAAGCTATTTTTTTAGCATACTAGTTAAATATGAATCAATATAACATAGCATACCGCACTCTGAGATAAATTTAGTTTAGTCACTTGATTTGACAGTCACAGGGTACTATGCATTTTGAGGTCATATACAAATTTGAATATTGCAAGGGCATACCCTAAATAAAATTCACTTGATGTATATTTTCTACATATTATGTAATTTCCTCTGCTTTATAGAGAATTAACATTTTACTACTTTAAATTTCAAATAATATACTTCATGTTGAAATATGCATGTCCTTTACTAATTTTTGTATTTATTAAGTAAATTTTGTGATTTCTCGAATAATTCCCATCTCTCTGATTGGCGGAGATCCAACAATGTTAGAAAAATACTACGTTATATTGACCTGCACGTGACCTTCCAGGTCAATATAAGGAATTATTTCCAGGTCAATATAAGGAATTATTTATTCTACATTGGACCAAAAATAGATAATCATATAATAAAACAGTTATTGCTGTTTTTTTTTTTAGGTCAATACGGTGATTTAGAAACTTTGGAAGTACAATATTCTCCTCGCCTTTCGGACTCGGTGAATTTTGTACTCCTCAGGTGTCTAAATCATTGTATTGACCTAAAAAAACAGCAATAATTGTTCAATTATTATATATAATATATATAAATTAGGTTAAAATGATTTTTTTAATGTGAGAATTTTATTTCTAACATGTACAATTTGATTTTACCAGGTTTCATGGTCACTGATAACCCTACATCAATTATACTGTCTTTTTGAAACAAATTGTATTTTTCAATTTTTTTTATTGTGTAGATTTGTCAATTTGCATATATCGATTCGTTGTGTAGTTCTGCAGTTCGAAATTTTTTTGATACCTTTTATTCAATTTTAAAAAAGACATCCGTATAAATTTCAGTGTTTTAAAAATTAAATGCCTCATTAATTGATACACTTATTCACGGTAGTAATTTGAAACTTGAATACGCAGTATCAAAACAACACTGTTACTGTTTCTTAATTTTTTTAATTTCAAAGTGATTTATATTAAATTTGTTTTTTCGTCTTCCGATCGGATTGGCGTCCACCTGATAAAAAAGATTATATTTAATTATTTTCTATACCATATTCATGTTGCTACTCATATACATGCATTAGCTTTTATAGCAATTTAATATTTGATAGAATTGTTGGGTTTTTTTTACTGATTTGTAAACTTCGCCCGGAAGCTAAGGTGTCCGGAATATTGGCATCCGGATTAACGAAGCTCCACTGTATATATTTTATATTGTCAATATATACTGTGCAATAGAAAGAAAAATCTGAGTTGTTCATCTTAAATATAATATTTTTTAGCTTGAAGAATTTCAGTTACGTTGCCCCCCCCCCCCCCTCCCCATTCGCAAACTGATATTGTTTCCCATAAAAGAAAACATTAAATCTTTCAAAAGGATGACAATATTGTAATTTTTATTCAGTCAAAACTTCTGAAAAAAATCCAATGCAAATATGTATAAGAGATCTAGAAAGTAAAATTCTCTTTTCTTCTGTCAATAAATAATATTTTTAAAAAGTTTCCAAACATGAAAATTGCGAATTATATTTAATATTCAAGCTATTAAAGAATATATTTCATATTGTATCAAATTTACCTGTCCCCATCACCTGCACCATTCCAAACATTCGACCTTATTTTTCCTACAGCAATACCACTCGTCATTTGGTCCGGCTCTTCTTTCTTCTATCATTGCGACATTATATACACCCATCATATTGAAGGCAAGAATCAGCATAAGCATAACCATTATCTTGAATAATTTCATCTAATAAACAGGAAAAAAAATATACTAGAAACAGTGTAGGATAAAAAGTTAAACAGATTATAACTAACTTACGATAATTTAAAACAAATACAGGGAATAACAAACTATTTTGAAATTCCTTATTAAAGTACCAAAGAGAGAAAAAAGAACGAAAAATGTTAGAATGTAACTATGGATTTTAGCAAACAATCTAAATGATATTCAAGTTTAATTCTTGAAATGTTCATACCTTGGTGTTTTAATGATTCCGTGAGCTATCAACTTTCAGGGGATTGTGATTTCAACGATAATTTGGTACAGTTTATGTAAAGAAGCAATGCGTTTGATGAAGCACTTGCGTAACACATGTATGAAAATAATTAAAATTTAAACTCCTTTTGGCAACTACTAATATATGATTTGATAAAACTTTTCCCCTGCAAGCAAACAAAACAGGATTTTAAACAAACAATAATATAATTATTTGTCAAAAAAGGACAGCATAAAGGTAACATCTGTTCCAAAATTGTGAAATACTAATGGAAGTGTTTGAGTGGCACACACTATGTGTAATTGTTTCCAAGGGTATGTCATGGGGTAAGTCACGGGGTAAGTCAGTCCCTCAGAAAAAATTCTATCAACCCCATATTCCAGATTTGATCATTGTAGACGGAAATAGATAACAGATCTAGTTACTGAATCATTGAGCCATATTCGCTTACTTGTTAAGGATTTAGCTTTTTCTCTATAATTGCAATACTTCATGTATTTGTTGCATCATTTTTTTTGGAAGTAGGATGTCTATGGAAAATAATCCTCATAATAACTTATTCATTCACGATCTTGATCTATTTACTCTTTCAATTCACAGAAAAGGAATGTTATGACTGAAATGTAAAGAATATAATCAGGAACCATGTCTTAGATTCCAATAAAACTATACGAATTATTAGCAGAGCAAACACGGATCCGAAAAAAACATTCAAGATGGGATCACGTGTCATAGGGGATGAAGCATATCAAACGGTCACACCCATGAACCTCTGTAGCGGTCAATCAAACTAATTAAGTTTTGCTGAAGATCAATATTCAGTTCAATCTTTCTGATTTGATCCAAGCCAAACATCATCCCGTAAAGGTACTACACTTAAGACTTTGAAAACTGAAGTTTTTTTAACTGTGCAGTGCAGTTATTATATCTTTGGACATCTCTTATACCCTAAGTTTCAATTATGATATACCAACTTACCCTACACTTCGGATATTTATTAAAATCTTAACATTAAGAAATTTAAAGTATCTGCAATAGCATAGTCATCATACCGATGTATCACTTAATAAAATCAAATTTCACCTTGTGAAGTAATGTTTATTTAATAAAAAAAAATTTTTTTTTTTGCTATTAATGAGATTGGGAAGTGTACATAAAAGTACCTGTTTATTAGTACACGTAAAATCCAAAAGTGCTGAAAAGAATACAACAAACATTTTTTGTTTTGTTCTTACATGAAGAGATTACATGTATAAGCTAGTTTTGAATTTACAAAATATCAAATTCAAACACAAAGTTCGTCTATTCGTCGAGTACAGACAAGGGTGGTTCGCCAAATGGTGCTTCTAATGCTAGTAAAACAACCTTCCAAAACATTGATTCCAAGGCGCTACCTTCATTCCAAGTTATAACTGATCTTTTTTTTAAGAGTTCTGTGCACAGACGAAATCATGTTTTTGCTATTGATGGTTTTAAATAACAAAAACACGACAGTAGATTCTCCACGCTGTCTTATTCTTTCTTCCACAAGATTGTTTTGCCAAAGGCACCATTCATTCTTCACAAATTCATTTGATAACACCACTAATATTTTTTTACTCTCCTTGAAAGCATCTTCTATTTCGCTGCATCTCTCTGCACCAACTACGAATTCTCGATCAGGAATGCACAATCTTATTCCTCTGGCTTCCAACTGTGGAACAAGCTTTCGCAAAACCCATTTCTCATCTGCTTCACAATATACAACATATGCATCATATTTGAATTCTTGCTCATTTAGAAGTCTAACATATCCCCTACTTTTTAAACGGTAATAGTAAATAACATTTTTGATGGTTGGCAAGTTCATGGAAATCATAACGGAAACAATAATAAGAAAAATCGCCGATGCTGAAGTTGATATAACGATAACAATCCATGGGTTTTTCTCTTTGCAGTCTTCTGGGGTAAGACTTAGAGTCAGTATCGGCTTCCGAAGCATCTTGGGAGGCGTCGTACAAGCATACCTGTCCGGAAAATTCAAAAGTGTCACATTTGTTTCTTGGCACCAGTTCTTAAACCAAATCAAATCACATCCACAATCAAAGGGGTTGTAGGCAAGAGTAAGGGTCTGGAGATTATTCAGGATGTCTGGCGGTATAGATGTTTTGTTTAAAGTAGAAATCCTATTATTATCTAGTCTCAAGCTAACGAGATTTGAGAGGTTTTTGAAAACAGAAACTTTCCAACCACTAAGTTTATTCTGGGTCAAGGAAAGTGTTTTCAATGTCGTCAATGATTTAAATGTGTCCACGTGAATTGTGTCCATTCTATTTTCTTGAAGGGACAATTCTTCTAATCTTTGCAACGGTTTAAGTAGTATATGACCAATTGGTCCGGTAGGAAAATGATTTCCACGAAAATCCAAGATAGTGATATTTTTGCACAATGCAAACAATTTTTCCGGATCATATTTTGAAGTATCTTCAAAATTGAAATCATTGCTCACAAACTTCAGGGTGTGAAGGCTAGATATATTAAATGCAGAATTAAACATCTTTTTCAGACTCCGAACATTCCCTATTTGCAGCCATTGGATAGACTTTAATGGGCTGAAAATATTGTCACTGAGTACATGTAATTCCGTAAAACTTAAATCTAATTTTGTCAGCGATGGAAGGCAACTAAAACTGTTATTAAAAATGTATCTAATTTTTGAATGTGACAAATACAGTTCTTGTAACTTTGGATGAATGCTGTCCTTTACTTTGTTGCAAAATAATGGAATTTCGGCAAAGTAGTTGAAACGAAGGTCCAATATTTGCAATCTTGGTAAGCATTGGAAACGATATCCCTGTAAAGTGATTATACTTGTATTTAGAAGATAAAGTTTTGTTAGATTAGGTGTTAAACTTTGACGTATTACTCCACAAAACACGGGAATATCCCTCAAAAGCGTATTTCCCAAGTCTAAGACTCTAAGGGATGACAGACATATCAATGATTTATTTTGTAATTTTGAGATAGACGTGAATTGCAGATGCAGTTCTTCTAAATTTGGAACACTGCTTTTTCCGAATGAATTGCAGAAGTTAGGAACATGGGTTATTTTATTTTTGCTTAGATATAATACTTCTCCCGCTATACCAGTATTGTCTAAGAACAAGGATTCCAGTTTATTATCACTACTCCGAGTACCGAGGCAAAGTTCAGGAAAACCACCGAGTCTTGTACCTACTACATTCAAAATTTTAAGCTTTGGAAGGCAATGAAATATAGATGACGTAATAAATCTCAATTTTGTTGATTGTAGCCTTAGGCGCTCCAAATAAGGGAGTTGTTTTATTTTCCCTTCGCAAAAAAATTCATATCTTTAAAACTGGACGACGAAAAATCTAATGCTGTCAGTTTAAGATCCTGAAAAATGTCTGCTGTTAAATTCCGCAGTTGATTACCTGCTAGTACTACCGTACTCAAGTTAGTATGGGAAACATATTTGAAGAAATCAGGTACAATGTAATTCCATCTGTTTGAAGTAAGATTAAGAATCTGTAAAGAGGATGAAATATTAAGGAACGCATCTCTTAAAGTTTTGGAAGGAAGTTTTCTGTTATGAGATATTTCCACTTCTTTTAAATTCCGGAGATTTCGGAAAAGTCCAGTTTGCATAAATTGCATATCTAAACTGTCAAAGCATAGTTTAGTTAAAGGGAGATCTGTAAAGTTCTGTAGGTTGCGTACAAAAATCTTTTCACATTTGAAATAGCGAATAGTAACATCTTCTATGTTATCTGGAAGTTTAGGAAAAAACAAAAGTTTTTGTCCTTCATGTACAGACTTGCAATCTGCTTGATGAGTTTTATCGTCACACAAACACATTCCATTGCCACAGTAAGTTACTGCTGCTAACGACGACTCCAACACGGATAGCAGAAGAAAACAACACATTTGAAGAATGTCTACATTCACTTCCATTTTTTCTTCAAATCTGTGAAATATGAAGTAGTGTTATATACACCTTTTAATGTACAAGTTAAAATCAATAATTTGTGATGATAGAAATCGTCATTAATTTTATTAAATTCATAAAGTTAACTTCCTCCTTGATTGAAAATGTTTTCTACTTTAAAAAATAAATTTGACAATAGCGAAAACAAAATGAAATCATTCACATTACTACATCTGAATGATACTCTTATCTGTTTCACAAAACGTTCTGTTATTTTTAGAATAATTTTGCTCTACAATGTACGTGTTCTTCAAGTTTTTACTTCCGCATATTGTCATAGCGAATTGAGAAACATGAATTGAATAATAATGATTCATCTCTTTACTTAAAAAATCACATAGAATAATTTTGAGCTAATATCAACCAAATCATGCTGAAAGCGTAATTCAAAAGATCCATTTAAAAAGATTTTAATTGAGCATTCCACTTTTAAACCCCTTTTATATATATCAAAATTTTTCAAATATCAGATACATGTACTTATAAACCCACTGGAAGAAGGCATTTTTATGCAATCTAAAATTTCTTATAGATAAAGTTATTGGACCATTTGATAGATATAAAGCTTAATTTTAATGACTATGAGATATGATTTCAAAAATATATATACTCACATTAAGGATCGAAATTCAAAGATCCTTTATGAATTGATCAAAAATATTTAACATCTTTCGCATATGCTTCCTGTTACTTCCGCATTCTAGAATTTCGTTGGAAGTTTAGGAATACATAAGGGATATATTTAATCTGTCAAGTACAAATTCGTTTCTATGATTCATGCAAGACGGTTTATATATAACTACATTACCTGCATTTTAATAGTCTTAAATTTACACGTTAGATTAAAAAAAAACAACAAAGAAATCTGTTGAATATATTTTTTTAAATATTGATTTAATTTAAATATATATATAGATAATTTTAAGAAATATAATATACGCACCAGTGTGGTCGATGGGTATTCACAAAGTGTGAATCAATATCATTTAGAACCACCAGGTAAAGCACGTTCATAAATAATGATAAAGCTCGAGTTTGTATTTAAAAACACAAGGGAAACCAGAAATTACAAAAGTATTTGCTATTCCTATTCTCCATTCAAATACATAACAAAACTCAGTGGTCGGTTTACTATTCAAATACTTTAAGGAAAGATGATACAAACAAACAAAAAATTGATGCCTGGTTAGGTAATATATATTTTGGACCTATTTTGTTTATAAATGAAACAAAAAATTTCTAAAATATAAAGAAATTGTAAATAATATATGACGTTCAAAAGTCTATCTTTCTGCATATGTTTTCTATATATATTTTTTGAGACTTAAGATCCCATTATTGAGACTTTGAATAAAAAATTAAAATATGTGCGGTTAATCTAATTCATATTACTTATTAAAACATGACTGAAGTTGTTACTTTCAATATTTTTTTAATAAAAAATTGTTTGTATCATCCGTCCTTAAGTGTCTTAGTGTACAAGCATTTTTTCGGAAAAAAAAAAAAAAAAAAAAAAAAAAAAAAAAAAAACCTTAATCGCTTAAAAAAAAGGCACAAAACCTTTACCCCTAAAGCTATCCTGGCTAAAATTGTCAAAGTGTATGTATTGTTGTAAAGGAAACATAGTACTAGGGCTGGATAACATCCACAATTCCATAATGCAGCCTCCATTTTTCAGTCAGAAGTAGGGCCTGGGAGAGACTAGTTTAAAGGAACACAGTCTATACGACCCCTAGCCCTTAGGGCTACCCTACCCAAATTGATCACAGTGTATCTTATATGCATACAAAAATAAGGGTACATTACACAGTACAAGAAGCTGGATAACTTCCACAATCCCATAACTTTACATTTATCTTTTATCAGGGGATTAATCAGATGACCATCAAAAGGAATTAGGTTCACAAGACCCCCAATCCCTAAAGGTAGTCCGTCCAAAATGATCGCAGTGTTTACAATACAGGTATAAGTGGTAGGTAGTACACTGTACAAGGGACTGGATTACTTTCCTTTTCTTTTTGATGATTATATTGTTATCCCAGGCCAAAGTTGAAGGCCAAATTTTGGAATATGGATGTTATACAGTCCCTTTTATTCTGTTCACCGTATGTTTTATATGCACCGCGACCAGTTTAACAAGGCTGATTATAGGGTTTGGTGTTCTTGTTAACCTTATTCTAATAAAGCTCACCGGAACAGTCCCAGACCCCTCCCTTAAAGATGAAGGTTGACTTATAAGACACGCAGCACTGTAAAGACGAACTATGAAGAAATCAATGGAATAAAGACGTGCACAAATAGATACCGTTTAAAACTAAATTTATTTTTGTTAAGCTATTTTTTTAGCATACTAGTTAAATATGAATCAATATAACATAGCATACTGCACTCGAATATAAATTTAGTTTAGTCACTTGATTTGACAGTCACGAGGTACTATGCATAAAATTTGAGGTCATATACAAATTTGAATATTGCAAGGGCATACCCTAAAAAAAATTCACTTAATGTATATTTTCTACATATTATGTAATTTCTCCTGCTTTGTAGAGAATTAACATTTTACTACTTTAAATTTCAAATAATATACTTCATGTTGAAATATGCATGCCCTTTACTAATTTTTGTATTTATTAAGTAAATTTTGTGGTTTTCGAAATGAGCAGGACTTTTTGCGTTAAGGATTATTTCAAATATTTTTGTTTAAGATCTATGCCCTTGCTGCATACCCTTGCGAAAAGGGGCGCCTAGATCACCAACTTCATTCCTATACAAAAAGCGCAGAGGAATAAAATAAAAACCCTTTCTGGATATTATTTAAATGTAGTTAATGCCATTACATGTAGTGATTGACATTAAGGACATACGCAACGTACTTTACCTTCTGATAATTTTTCAAGATATTCTTAATTTAAGATTAAAGTGCCATCAGATGTTTGTAGACAAAAAATCAGCATGCATAACCAGGGGTTTTAAAAAGATATGAATTGATGAAAAATCTTGTATAATTCAAAGAAAAATATACAAAAATTACCAAACATATATTCTAGATGTTTTGTTTATCCAAACTTGTTTTAGAAGAAGTGTACAACAACATATATAAACAATAAAATGTAGCACACAGTTCCTTTAAGTATTGGAACTCTTCAACTCCAGTGAAAAAGACAATAAAGTTCAAACTACCATGCGTATGTCCTTAATCAAAAGTTACACATTTGAATAAATGGTCGATCAATTTAAACATCTCTAAACAATATCCGGTTATAACAAAATGTATTTTTCCCTGTGAAAAGAAAAATACATCATCCGCCTCTCGCCGCATATGAAATGCATCAGATTTTACCATGACGATGTCACGCCGACAAGTACATAGCAAACAGCTACTTGATTACATCTTGCTTTGTTGTATTTATTTATTTAATGACGAAATAGAACTCAGTGGTATTTTGTTTGTTTGTTTGTATGTTGTTTAACGTCCCTCTCGAGAAGTTTTCACTCATATGGAGACGCCACCACTTGCCGGTGGAGAGCTGCAAATTTTGTCCTATGCTCGGCACTTACGGCCATTGAGCAGTGAGGGATCTTTTTCGTGCCAGCACCTACTGCGACACGGGACCTCGGTTTATACGGTCTCATCCGAAGGACCGGTCTCCACGTCCCACAGTGGGATTCGAACCCGCGACGTAAGGATCAACTCCTTACTTCGCGACTCTAGAGCAGACGCTCTAACCACTGCGCCACACGGGCGACTAACTCAGTGGTAAGTCCTGATATAGTTAATACTTTTATATAGATTAGAATTGAAAATTATTTCATTTCCTGATAGTAATCTAGCCAGTTCCAGGTCCCTCCCCTGGATAAAGATGACTGTTAAATTAAGAGATTGTTGATGTAATCCATCACTTTCGTCATATTCCAATTTAAACTGCACTAAACGGGTATGTATCACAACCAGTTTGGAATGATTATCTGTAAGAGTGAAATATATGGGGATAACGAACAGTATTCAATCTCAAAAGTCCATTAAACATTACAAAATAGGTACAGAGCAAACACGGACCTCCAAAACATCAGAGGTGGGATCAGGTGCCCTGGAGGAGCGAGAATCCCCTGCCGACAGGTCACATCCGCTGTGTGCTCCTTGTCATGATCGGGAAATAACGGGAAAATCCGTCGACAATTCAGTGTGTAAATAATAGCCTAAGAATTAGTTTGAAAAACGTCATTCAGCATTTGACTCAGTGATAAATTGTATTTGCTGACAAGGTCATTGTATCGACCATAGAACAACGAAATGATGACTTTAAACGAGATTGCTGATATTCTTGTTTCATCAACTTGTTTGTAAATAATTTACCTCGTTTTAGAACTTTTACATACGTAGAGCATGCTCTTGCGTATCGAATCAACTGAGATATATAAACCCCGTATGCAGGTGATGAAGGTATATTGCTGCATAAGTAAGGGAAGTTGACGATTGAAAAGTTAAAGCCATCACGTTTATCATAAAGCTTGGTTGTTAGATTACCATTAACGTCTTTTTCAAGTAAAATATTCAAATATGAAACAGATGTGTCAGACTCTGTAGTATCTTTTATCTCAAGGTGGGGTCTTGAATCTTTTTTAATAAAATGTCTTTGCTTCGCTTCTACTGCTTGTGTTTAAATGACTCAATTTCATGTGTTAAAATGACTCAATTTCATTTTTTTTAAAGTTATCAAAACAGATACGGTAATATGGTACGCTATTCTAATAGTGAAGAGCATATAGCAGTAATTTTACAGATACGTGTATGAGCTTTTTTGTGCCGCCAACGTTTTATTCCAGAAAAATGAGGATCACAACTACACTGTCTATCCGTACGTCAACTCTCTGTCTGTGAAGACTAATACATTCGCACGAATGTCAAAACATTCTATTATAAATCACATCATTTTTAAACTCGGTGAAAACATACTCAATCAAC